AATTCTTTAAGATATAAAGCAGTATCTGTTTCTCAGTCAGAGCTTCAGAATTTGTCACAATTGCAGTGTGTTTGGCCATGTCAGATACTGAGGCGCAGACGGCTCTCGGCACATAACGATTCTCAAATGTTAGCTATTGTTATTTGTATTATAGTTGTTACCACTGTCATTAGGCCTTAAGCACTTGTCATTGTCTAATTGTGGAAGCCAGCTCCATTTCTGGGCTATACAGCATAGGAGATGTGAGAACTCAGAGCATTTGTAAAATACTGCTTCAATACAAAAGCAGAATGCAGAGAATACTCAGAGGTTTGTAAATCACAAATAATCCAAAGAACTGTGGTCTGAGACTATCAAACCAAATCAGTCATGGCTTGAGACTTCCCAGTGAAAAGTGATATAATATGCTCATTATACCATATAGAGAAAGACCCCTGAGCATTGCAAGCTGTGAATTTTTATTCTCCTGCTGCATTTCTAACAGACTTCCTTTTCCATAATGTGTGTGTCCTTCTTTTCTGTTTGCTGCTTGTAGTTTTGTTTGCTGAACACTACCAGAGTGCTCCCTTTACCAATTTCTTGATCATCTTCCAATGTACTTATCTCACATGGGCTAGGACTTTTTTTTTTTCTCCTAAACACACTGAATCATGACTACAGTTCCACAGATTCAAGCTCACTTTCTCTGAGGCCTTATCAGCAATCAGCTCAGGATTGCATGACAGACTCACATTTAATTGAAAACATTGTATCTTTAAATTCTTCTAAGGAAAAACTTCAGAACTTCCCTACGAAATTATTTAATGCTGACTTTCTGGCCAGGGGTTTTTTCTCCTTCATTCAGCTAGCTTTCCAGAATGTACAAGTTGACAGTTTTCAAGTTGATATGAGAGATTTTTTGTCCCTTAGTTTATCAGCTGCACTGGCATCTTGACATAAAGTTCTATAATTCCTCCTCATGAGGTTTTAGTATACATGTGAATCAAAGTCAGGACACTTTCTATTGCGTTGTGAATCAACTGGAACAGGAAACTTGTGCTCTTTGATGCTCATGATTATCAGCACTGGAAGGCCAGCAAATAACCACAACAGAAGTCATCAGATGGCTCCACATAGCTCCTGGCTCACATGTGAGAAATTTGTCACCTGGTTATCGCCTCTTCAGTGCTAAGGAGAGTTCACCAACAAATCAATGAACTTCACAGCATTAACAATCTCTAGGTTGTTTGCCTCATTGGCTGTAGGAAAGAGGCCATAAAAGTCATGTGACAAGTCCTTAGATGCGCTCAGAAATTATGGGTCTCAGGCACACTGCAGGAAAATGAACCTCTCTCGTCTATGTAAGTCACCAGAATGTAACAGGAAAAGAACATTTGGGGACTAGGCTTCCATTCGTCTCAATGGCTGTTTATATGCAGTACTAATGATCTCTGCACTATCACTCTGATTTGTGGATACAGAGGGTGGCACGTGTTGACAGATGTTTGAATGCAGGCTGAAATGCACATACTTTGGCTCATGTTCACATGTAGCCTCTGTTCACTGTCAGATCCTTGCCCGTGTCTTCCACTGAGTATCTCCATTTCTTTCTGACAGCTGAGCTGCAAGGTTTTGCACTTTTTTCACCAGTACATGATGGCGTGCAACTATTTCTGGATGCTCTGTGAAGGGATCTACCTTCACACGATGATCGTGGTGACCGTGTTCACTGAGGAGCAGCACTTGCGGTGGTATTATCTCTTGGGCTGGGGTATGTATTTCCTCCAGTTCAGTTTTGAGCCACCTTCACCTCTATCTGTGTATTTACAATCTTCCTCTGGTCTTGGTCTCGGAGAACAATCAGACCCAGGTGCTGGCAAGAGTTCAGTCTCCAAGAGAGCATCGTCAAAGCCCTTTAACAAGTTCCTACAGTCTGTGATAAACACGCAGGTCAGTGCAGAGGTAAAGGGGTTATGATTATGAGTGTCTTCAGGTAACCCAGCTAACATTTGGACAAGAAACATGCCCTGATTGAGAAAAGGTCTTATTAGGCCCCCTTCAGTTTTATTTATCATGAGTTTG